CCTTGAGTGCATGAGCAATTTTAGCTTCCAAAAATAAAAATGCTAATGACTTAAACTTGAAGATTCAAAGTCAAATTCCGAGAGGTTTCGCTCATACAAATCAATCGATCGTCTTGACATTGAAGACGAAGCCGTGAATTATTCAGTAGAATTTCTGAATTCTTTGGAGAGCCTGGGAATGCCGCCGCATCAATTGCGTATCAAAGTTACATCTTTCATTAATATGACTCAGCTATCGAATACAAAGAGCCAGAATTCTTGGTTCTACGAAGTTCTTTGAGTTCCAACGATTTCACATTTCAGTTCAAACGTATTCAGTTTCCAGTGCATTGCGGTGATAATCAACAGGGCACAAGGATAGTCGCTAGAAGTGTGTGGCATATACCAGGATATGCTATGTTTTTCACACGGCCAGATATACGTGACGTGTTCACGAGGTGGAAAACCATCTTCTCTGGAACAGAAATCAAAAATTATTGTTTACCAAGTTGCGTTAGAAAAATTGAAAATAAATTATTTTGAACACAATATAAGTTAAACTTTTTTTTAAATTTCAAAACACATAATTCTACGCAGTACAACATCTGCAGGGTCACCTTGTCCTATATATTAAAATAACTTGGGTTTTTGTCTGTTCGCTATAGCTGGCTAAACAGTTGAATGAAATGAAAATTGACACTTTGAGGGTAATCCAATGAGGATGGTTTGTAAAAAAATCAGAAAATGTTCATTTTTAAGCGACTTACGAGCGAAATTTAAAAAAAAAAAGTCATTATTTATAACAAAGAATGCTATTTAACATACAGCTAAGCTGCAATAGACCGATAAGGGAGAGTTATAGCGTGAATAATGACAAAAACAAAATTTTTTTGGATGCGCCAGGGAACTGTGCAAGACGTTTCTTGCAAACTTAATACTTGAAAGACAATCAGGGAAGATAGCGATAGCAGTTCCCTCGTCAGAAATTGTTGCATCTCTCTAAAGGATGAGTTGTTTGCCCATTCATCTTTTAAATTTCCGTTATCTTATGAGCGGAATAACTTTTGTATTTTGGTACAGGTACCCGAGTAGATATCATCAAACCATTCTTAATATTGTCGCCATTATGAACTATATTTGACTGCGATAGATACCGTGACTAATATCTAATCTCCATTAGTTTTTAAATTCATTAAAGCCTTCTGGACAGCCACATGAATTGGCTTTAAAAATTGGAATTCCAATTATTCTTTTGAAGAATTCAAGTTCTTCAAGCATGTGCAGCGGGGCAAGGCTGCTTATTAAGGAATTGAAGGACAATTTAATTGCAGCAACCATTAATACCGACCCCGCAGCTGGTTAACTAGCTCATATACCGAGGAATCTAACCCCATTAAAACGGCTTCAATTTCCAGTGAAAATATTTTTCGCTAAGCTTCAAACAAGTCCCAAGGCCAAACTTTCGAATTAGTAGGGACTGACCTACGATATTTCTGCCACAAAATGAATTAAACCGTTTACAGTGAAGCTCTGACTCAATAAATTATTTTTCAGGAGCAGAGAAAGTAAAATATATAAAGGCCTTTATACAAAAAATTAAAAAAAATAATACAGAAAATATACTTTCATGTTTGAGTTTCCTTCATTTAACTAATTTTTAATGATCCTACGCAAAAACGGGGAAGCTAGCGTAGGAAAGTGTGTACAAAATTATAGCTTTTGAAACGAAATACGCCTGTGAAGCCGGGAAGTGGGCTCGTAGTTGGGTTATAAAATAAAAAAATAAAAAATTGGCTTAAAATAACAAGGTGCTACTCCCAAAATCTCGACTCAAGCTTAAAAAACGATTTTTGATACTTTTGCGCACTATTATCCCACATCGTAGCTACTGTTCATTATAATGTCCTAATAAAGCTCAAGAGATATATTTGTTTTTGCAGAGCAAACTTAAATTTTGTTACCCTTGTTCTCCTTTTTTATTTTGGCGATATTTTCACGCACTATTTTATAAGAAGACTAGATGTGATCTGATTTGATTCAAAGAATACGTTTAATACCGAATTTAACGAATGTTTCTTTTTACAAATTGACTAAGTTATTAAACTCTTTATAAAAAAGAACGCACACATATCTTAAACATAACTCTTCCCAACGGCATATACAACTATTTCTTATCTATTATTATTTTAGGATCATTTGTGATCCTTTACAATCCCTAATCAATATACCCGAAATGAACATTTATTACACTGTTGATAGAGATGGGTATTTGTAAATACATATGTATCTATGTTTGAGACCAGATTCGCTGGCGCTGGCGATAATGAACATAAATATTTGTAACATGATATCTGTTTCCATACA